AAATATACACATTGAAAATGGAGTAAGTATATATCACAGTATTCAATTCATTTTACTGGATTAATAGCAATATTATATACAACTATATACTTATATATAATTATAAATGGCAATGTTGACAAAACCTTTATGCGCACAGTTTCGTTGTAATATAATAATATTATTGATATTAATAAAATAGTTCTAATAYCTATTAATTGTAAATACTAGCAATTCGTAAATGCGGTTAAAAAAAATACTGTTTATTATAACACTAACACAAAACATGGCGAGTATGATTTTACAAATTTATCCGCATTTAAATACTTTCTTGAAATCGACGGAAATTGAATAAAATTATCACAATGATGCAGAGTAAAAAAATTATACTCCATAAATATAATTATTTATTTTTTTGGAATGAATTATTAATAAATGGAATGTATTTTATTACAACTATAGTTTTTATATAGTACTATTAAAATGCATTAATATACTAATATCATATCTTTAATTTATTGACTAGTCCTATAAGTAATAAATGATTTCTTAAACTAATGTTCACATTTGGTTAAAATAAGATTTTTTTCATATATTATGAAAATATTGTTAAAAAAAAAACCGATTTTTGATTAAAAATAATAACCTACACATTATATTGAATAATTAAAAAAGATTCACAAATACATTTAAAAAAAGATATTTAGAGATGAAACAACCGAAAATATATGAATAAGATTAAAATCGAAATTCAAGTGAAATTGTAATAYTAACAGAACGTAATCTCCCACTATGTTATTTAATACCAACATAATTAACTATGAAAACAAATAAAACTTGAATAGAAAATTGTAAATATTTGGTAACACTCTTTCTTTTTGAACATAAATATAAATTAGTCACTTAAGTTAACAACCAAAGATGATCATGTGTTAAAATATAAATTGTCTGCATTAAATATTGTTTATCGCAAGGCATACAACAAACAATATCACAATAATATATCACTTTTATACCTATAAAGTGATAAAATTATTGCATACATTTATACTGACAAAGATACTTTTACATTGAGCTCCAACTTTGTATAATATTATTAATGTAATAAAATTTAAATKATTTAAATATATACATACATACATACATTTATATTATATATATGTATGACATACAAGTGTAGAGTTATTAATATCTTTGTTGGAATTCATGGTGCCATCTGTTGTAGTCAATATGGAATATGACAATTGATCCAGTAGATAGTCCAGCTAATAAAAATCTTATAAAAAAAAGTGTTAGTTTTTTAATTCAATGATTAAGGAAGTATTCAATATTATAGTTACTTTTGATCATGTGTAAGTCCCAATGATCGTACACTGCTATCACAAGCCGGAAAAGCATAGAGTAATGATAAGTTAAATGTTCTCCATACTTCAACAATTCCTTTATCACCTCCAGTCATCAAGTATTCACCATCTCTGCTTAGCAACATACACTGCAAAAAATAATATGGCATTGAAAAAATATAAATTTTCATTTTATTTATGGATTCAATAATAAATAATAATGTACAGTTTATAAGAATTTTGGAAGCTTAAAATAAACTATAATTTTACTTTAAATATTTTTTAAATTAAATATGGAGGAATCTCAAAATCAATCTCTAAAGGAAAAAAATGTTCCTACATAGTTTCCATTTAAACTTATACATTTTTGATAATATGGGACAAGTTTTTGTATATCCTCCTTAAAAATTAGCACTGYTAGTGCATTGAGACATTGATGCACACTATTCCTTATAAAATCCGAAATGTTGAGCTGGGGATGAATTTTAACTGCACCATTTCCTTCGTTTTGCAAAAAACGAATTACACTTCACACCTCACAGGCGGTAAGAGATAAAATTTAATTCTCCGTGTTATAACGGCAACTACTGGAAAATTACTGAACAAAAACAGTCAAAACTTGGTACAAGTATTACCAGACAATAATRTGTTGGTTGCAACATGCAAAAATATGTCACCAAAATGCACATATGTAATGAATCACATCATAGGTTGAATTTGAGATAGCCCACATATTTTGAATACTTTTAAATGGTGTTAACTAATGAAAACATGAAATAATATTATCTCACCAACAAATTTAAGAACAAGTCTATGACTACATGAAAATAAATACAAGACTAATTTCCAATATCAAATAAATTACATAATAGTTTTTATAAACAACAAATTAATTATGTGTTATGTATTTGAACAGTAAATCATTACTTGGATATTATCATTGTGTGTAGTATGTCTCAGTCTTTTGCCATTGATTGTAAATGCCGCAATGCTACCATGTTCATAGTTCACAACAATTATGCCTTCTCGAGACATGACAGCACACTCAGGGTTTTCAAATCCGTTAGGAGGATCCAGYGACCTAAGGAGATCACCAAATGTTGTGTGAACAAGAACTGGACCACCTAAAATGTAAAGGTTATCTCTTAATAATATTAAAATATGTGATACAACAAAAATAATGCATGCTGTACAAACCTGAAGACGCAGATACGACCAATCCAAGTTCTGCAGAAATGGCCACTGAGGTGACCGGTTGTTCATGGCCTGTTAAAGTGGCTCTAGGAGTCGGATGATCACCTTCCCCAACTATTGTCTGACTTCTCGCATTCCAATGCCACAATAGGATGGTGCAGTCGGATGATCCACTGGCAATGTAACAGTCAGAAGTAATGTTGCATTCACTGCGACTCAAACACGTCACCACTCCATAATGGCCAAATACAATTTGAACAATTTTTGCTATAAATAGAAATAAAAAATGAATATTTATAATATTTATATATAGTAAGAGTTTTACAGTTAAAATTAAATGCAAACAAGTCTTACCAGTTTCTGTGGAAAACACTCTGAAACTATTGTCCCAAAAACCACAAACGATCAAGAAACGGCTGTCCACTGTGGTGACAAAACAATTCCACTTAATTTTTAATTTCTGACTAAAGTTGTCTCCTAGATGGCGTTTTAATGTCACATTCATATTGCTATTTGATTGAGCTAAAACAAAATAATGCAAAATTAAATCAGTTGGGTAATGTTGAGCTTGAGATAAGACGTTGTACATCAACGTTAGTTGATCATACAATACACAATAATTGAATAATGTACATCTTTTACAACAATTACACGTTTGGGTGCAATGCAACCAATATTAAATAGTTTAATCTTACTCAAGATTTGATCCATAACCAGGGGTAAGTTTACGTTTGGCTGCTGAGGACTTTCGGCGTAACTGGGCGATTGAATTGTCACTGAAACAACAAAAATTGCATACCAATAGATGTTATGAAACTACGAGTATCGAACAAGAGTTTGAAAATAAATCCTGTTGATTTATAATTATTATACGGACCGGAATAGTTAGTGTTCCATCGATTTATTGCGAACTGCATGTTGGTAGTCACGGTTACAACCGCTGGCATAGGTAGTTGAGGGAACGTGTTCGCCGATATGTGGCAAATCGGTGAATTTGACGGGAACTTCATGGTCATGCATACGTCGTCGGGAATGCTTGTGAACATCATCGGCGACTAAAACACGAGAATGGTTAACGATTGAGAAGAGTGTGACTAAGAAATTGGGGAGGGGAARCCAACCAAAGTTTATTAAACAAACCTCCGACGAAAAAGGTTCGATAAGACAATATTATATTAGTTTAARCTTTAAACGTCACTCATTTCTTATAAATAGAGCGTGAATGAGAATTGAATTCGCATATTTTTAGATAACTTGAATGTTGAACAGACCGTTAAAATTAAATTAATTTTTAATTTTTTTTTGTAGTTAATTATAAATTACGTAAATTTGTATATCTACCTACATGTAGGTCCTACATACTAACGAAAAATAAATAAATATATATATATATATTGAGAATTTAGTGCCTCTACAATCATTATTAAATATATATAATTTAATGAACGAATGTTTCCAATGGACGTGAAAGTTAATTTTATATAATATGTACATTGAATATGAATATTATGAACGATTCAGTCTCCAAGTGAATATTCCAAGCACCAAATTCTTAGATAATAATATCAAGTCTGTAGTAGGTACGATTACGCGACTACTGCAATAATATAATGCAGTGCTTACAATGTGCATAGCCGAACTTCGGGGCAGGTGCGGTTCCATCAGCAATTGAGAAGGCGTCTGGCCGAAACAGCGTATCTGATTTTCGATGGCTTCTCTCATTATCGGATCGGTTATGGTGTCCATGTCGACGCTTCCTTCGTACGTCAAATAGTAGAACACGTTGGACGCCCTRATGGCTTCCGGTCCTGCGGAGAACACAAACACGCAGCTTATAGGAATCGCTTAAAATAAGTTACGAGCGTGGCGCCCATTTATAATATCATTTTATTATAACATTTATATAAGTTATATAGTATAACTAGTGTAAGTAGAACATAACGCGTATACGCATATCATAATATAATACATGCATATAGGAAAATGAGAAATTTTATTACCTCTCTGCTTGTACCCGAATATCAGGTCGATCCACTGATGTAGTTGACACGATACAAATTCGGATTCTAAAGCCTGCAAAACGTTTATACGTTAAACCACAAAATTATTTCCACCCATTTATTAGAATCACGTCTACACGGATATAATACACCGATCAAGCAATAGAGGTGCGTGTACGTACCATTCTGTTGATCCTGATGAACTCTTCGGGCGAAGTAGCCCACGGCGGTAACTCGACGTTATCTACCGAAGTACCGTCTTCTTGATGTCCCAATTTGTACTCGTTGTCGTTGGACAACATTTCAGGCAGGAAAAACAATTCAGGAATTAATTCCTAAGGGGAAAAAAAAGTAATTAATTATTTTTTGTATACATATTATACGGAAATACTGTAGTGTGTAGTAGGTACATACCTTAACGTCAGAAGTGTCTCGTTGGCAGTTCTTCCAAGACAGCGCAATGGAAGAAAACAAACGGTTGGGATGGTCAAACTTGCCACCTTGTAGAGCCAAAAACATCGTGGTGAACGGTTCCTATAAAAATTGATTGAAAAAATGGGTTTTAATGACAAATTTTATGCAAAAAATATGAAGAAATCAAAAAATTCAACTCACGATTCTGATTAGCCAATTGAGTACAAAAGCCGCAGTCGAGTAATGGGTACCGTAATGGAATGGCGGAATGCTTTCGTTTTCCCAAGAGCCGTACCGCTCCTCAAAGTAAGCTTTGCGACTGGGATTCAACGCTCCAATGGGCTAAAAAAGAATATTATATTAAGTTTAATACAATATATTTTAGAATTATTTTTTTCCTAGTCGAATGAACTCGGGTAATCCACAATACATACAWTTGTTAAAATAAATCGATAAATACATWTAAACACATACTTTTGATAAATCGCGGTAGTTGGATGGGAGACCTAGGTCCATTTCAGTCGATTCATAGTTGGTAAGAACCCACGGAAAAACTGGATATTGGTTCAAATCGTTGTAAGTTCGTCCTGTAATTCAAATAAATAATCACTAAGTCGTTTTTATAGGCAGATAAGTGATAAGTGCATCGCAGGTTTTATGCGCAGGTCCCCTTATACTCCTCATAAAAAAATCAACGGATTTGTATTTCGTGAACTATCTTGAAAATATACCTATATGTACATGGCGTAGCGATTAATGTATTATATGCGCCTAGGTACCTWTACTTTATATTTATAATACGTACATCATACCAAAACATTTAATTTAGGAGAAATAATCATGACAGGATTTCACGTTTAAGAAGCAGTTGACCCACTTAGTACTGTTTTTTTTTTCTTTTTAATTCGTGATATTATTTTGCAAGTTATTTGTAAGTATAATTTTAGAACTTTCACCGTGAAACCAAAATAACAAAATGTATACTTTAAGTAGCCCACCCATTTGGTCCATTTGGACCCAGAACTTTATTGTAGTCGGCATCAAACGAAAGCTAAGATTAGCAAGTATTTACAAGACATTTTTAGGCGGCTACCATACATTTGAACTTGTGAAGTTGACCGCCTACCTGTTATGACCTAGAACTTTGAAATCAATTATAAAGAACTGGCGGTTAATTTGTAGTTCTGAAAGTGTACATCGAATTTGAATTATTTGAATAAATCGTAAAATGTCGGTATAAATTGAAATAATATAACAAATGAATGCTATTGTATGATATCCACTAATATAAATACCACCTGATACCTGCAGTACTATATGTGCTAAATTATCACAGTGGTCGGTGTTCAGGATTGTTAAAATATGCACAAAATCAAACAAAATTGCTCAGATAAAACGATTTTAATGTTCATGAATAACAACTTGGTGAAGACATAGGTATATACCTATAATCGTAGRAATATTTTCAACAATTTTGTATATTATTATGGTAAACACACGGTTTACATGGAAAACGGTGACAGTGTAATAGTACTTTCAAGTTATAAGACCACGAATTGCATACTATTATGATAACTATTTTACAACTTTACACTTTAAATTGACGAATCATTCCACATTCGTGAATCGAGGGACGAAATATTTAAAAAAACAATGCTAGAATCGGCATTCATTGCAGATCAAAATACCTTGGATTATTTATAATAATATAATAACTGCAATATAGTTATATAAACTACAATAACTATAATATAACGAATTCTGAGTTGACAACTATGTAGAAAGCTGTGGGTGGGTGGGCATTGTAGAAATGTAGACTTATACCATGTACACACACACAATAGCGTACATATTATTATTCAAGTGTTTGTTCAGGAAATGAACAGTGTTGACTGTTGGTGTTGATGGTGGTGGTGGTCGGAGAGGGTATATTTCGAACGTGGCGACAAACACGTGACGTTTACACTAATTGGCGCTGTCAGTGATTTCGAGGACCTAAACGGAGACGGGACGTTGAACGATTGTATCGCGTGGCGGGGAAACCGCACCGRCGCGGCGACACAATTTAACCGTCACCGTCAATATCCTATATTATATTCGAGTGACGACGACGTTGGCACGGCACGTCTACAGTTTCGTCTGCGCGTAAATATAGGCACACAAGTTTATAACATTATATCCGTAAACATAGAAAAAAAAAATTATTAAAATAAAATATGTACAACACACACATTACATACAAACGCATCCGTAAGCGTAACAATAATATGTTAAAAAAAWAATACACTGTGCCCGGTAGTGCATGAAACCGTTCAATATTGTTATACAAAATACACGTAGGTCGTAAATGGGTATACATTATAATACCTATGTCCTGTTTTATAAGGGAGTGTGYATGTCGCGGTCGCATAATATTATAAAACTCACAGACTATATTATACTGTCATATACATAATATACTAACYGGCTATAGTGTTTAGGAACATTAGATACTCAAAGTTGGATATCTCGCGACGCTGCCACTTTTGAGTCATGTTCGAGTTTCTCATCAATTGCCTGGGAGACATCATAGACGCTCGTCTGAAAAATGATATTCGTCAAACGATTATTAATAAAATTCACAGTGCGACAGTTGTGTATACTTTTTCAAATCTAAATATAAAAAAAACATTCAATAATATTATTTTAAATCACTCTAATAATTATTGGTAAATTTTAAATAATCTAAATGATCATGTAAATCCAACATCTAGATGATTATAATTTCTAGCTTAGATAACAGTTAAATACTTAGACACTGACTTTTTAATTTATCTAGTTAAGATAAACATACGATTACATTATCTGGATAAATTAATCTAAATAATTTAGCAATTGCATAATACTGTAAATAGATAGGTGTAATATGGATTTTAATAATTAAAATCCATAGCAATCAAGAATAATGTTACTAGGAAATATGATGGTTTTATAGAATATTAAAATAATTTTTACGTCGTGATTTCTTAGAATAAATCTGATTTTTGGTTCGAATATATTAAGTACATAAAATAGTTTCCATTAAAACTTTTTTCCCAATATAATAAAGGATTTTTGTAATACTTATTGTGAAAGCTAATAAAAATAAAAAAAAAATAAAAAAAAAAAATAAAGGATTTTTCTAGAGGAGAACCTATCCACACGAGACTCAGACGAGGTTTAAAAAATATCCGATGGAAATCATGTCCATACACATAAGCGAAAATATCCCGCCATTAGCCTCCTCTCCACCATAAAGAAAAAAATAAACAGTTTTTTAGAAGTGTAGGATCMAAGATCCTCCACTCAAATTTATGTTAAAATTGTTAGCCTATCCCACCCTTAAAAATTGTAATGGATTTGCATTTTGTTAATGGATACAATCAAAYTATTATCTCGTATTATTATTTGAATWGTGAAAATTGGAATGGATAAACACGTACAAAAATTAAGACTCTACGCATTTTATAACCAATCAACATAAATTACAGTAGAAATTCCACYACTTACCTAGTCTGTGGTAACCCGTACTTGATACCAACTCCAACTCTTGGCAACGCTTTGATGACTCTTTTAACTGTATTCTGGTCAGGGAATGAAAACATCACGGATGCTAAAATGATAAGTAACAATAAAATTCTTTAATGTAAAAATGTCGAATAAGCCTAAAGGTGGGTTATAAATAAAATATTTAAATAGTTTCATATAATTGAATATTATACTGTATAATTCATATATATATATATATTAATCGTAAAGTTATTATTATATATCAAATTATTTAGTTTGAAAATATAAACAAATACACTTTTTGAGTAAAACTATGAATGGGAAAACTTTTAAACGAAAACTTGATCACTATTTAAAGAAAAAAAMMAAWTTTTTTTTAAGAGAGAGTATGCAGAAATCTCTTACTAAAAATCATAAATTAAACTCTTAAAACAGAGATACTTGGTTTAGTTGGTTCAAAGTGTTAAAATACTGAAGTCTAATAAAATCAATATTTTAAAAGTTGTGGTATTAATTATAATGGTAAATTTACAATATTTGTTGGCGCCGCATAAGCATTATTTAGCTGTCACCGATCGACACACACACACAAACACTCGCGCGCACCAGCTGTTATTTTAAGTTGTTTTTGTTTAATTATTTGTATCTTGTGAATTATATAATAATATAAATAACATAATAACATAATAAATATTTCATATATATTTCATATATCATATAAATAATATAATAACATTATATAATGTTGTGCAACACCGCCTTATCGTCCGTGTCCGCCRTCTAAGTATTATCAATTATGTTATATCATTACCATAGCCAAAGGCATACGTTTTTATATTATTAATTAGTATTCTCTCCAGCGTTGTCGCAAATAAAGCTCGTACGTGCGCAAATCGTCGTCGGCAGTTTCTACAATAAAAATTGTATTTAGTGAGCGCGAATCGCCACTGTTTTTTTTTATACTTAGGTGTATTCTATGTGTGCGCAAATCGCCACATCCTTTTATATATATTGTATTCGTGCAGGCGCTAATCGCCACTGTCAGTATTATATTTGCATTTTTTGCAAATCGTTTGCGCTAATCAACGCAATTTGTTTGTATTATATTAAATTATTATATTGGTGCAGGCGCGAATCACCTTATTGTTTTTATATTTGTGTGCGCTGAT